GTGGCAACAAATAATGAATGCAAATGTAAGCACAAAATTTGTATTGGCTATAAAATCAATGTACTCAGCAGTTTAATCGTTTGTAAGGTATAATTCGACTCACTCGATCTAACTTGATAAATTCAAACATTGGAGTGAAGCAAGTGTTAAAGAACCATAACGAATTGATTAATTTTAAAAGTGGACCATACATGTTTCTCAATAACTTTGACAATTTGTTAAAAGTCTAAAGATAAGATAGACAACATTTGAATTTACGATTACCAAATAATGTAAATCAACTAAATCTGATGAAATATAGTCAAGATAAACAAGAAAATAAAATAAAAAATCAGAACAGTTACCTCTTTGTTATACAACTTTTCTATAGATCAATGAGCTTCCAAATGTCAAATCGTTAAAATACGATTCATTCAATATCAATTACAAAATTTAACAATAGATTCAAATGAACGTGTAACGGGTAGTGATTTTGCTACTTATATCATAGATTTCAATGAAAGCTTTTTCAAGGTTCGCCAGCTTTGAATCAGCAGTTTAAAAAATATAATAGTATAATGTTCATATTTATGTGTTTTCATAATGGCCTTGTTATTAGGCTTTGTAGTGTCATATTAGCCCAAAAACGGGCCATTATGAAAATACTTAATTACTGACAATTTTATAATCAAAGCACAGAAGGCGCTGAATTTGTTTGGGTCTCAGAATGTAAGAAAGGTACACGTTGTGAGATTATATGTATAGTGCCACCAATGCTTTCCAGCGTTTTAATTGTAGTAAATTGGCTATAAGACTAATTGCAACACTGATATTCAATCCAATGTTAGGAGAAGAATTTCATAAGACATGTTGTCTTTCATTCTAATCCTGTTTTTTAAGAATATTTGAATTTCATCTGTATATTGTGAATTATAACATGTATATATATTCTGAGAAATAAAATATGTTTAAACTAATCCAATGTTTATTTGACTTTAACAATTTGAAAAAAATGAGTTGCCTTTACTGGGATTTGAACTCCAGATCTCTCGCTTCCTAAGCGAGCGCGAAAACCCGTCAGCCACGGTGAACGGCCTGAAGAAAACCATATTATTCTAAAGTAGGGCTTGTAACGACTTTAATAATCCTGGAGCTTACTATAAGCATGTATATTTATAAAGAATCAAAGGGCTGCAAGTTCTGTGGTATTTTCTGATCTTTGCAATCTAAATCGTATTGTATATCTGTATGTATTTCCCTGCATAAGTTTATTTTTATGTATTATAATTCATTTTGCAAGGCACCAGAGTTTGATACATACGGAATTCTGCATAACTAGAGTTGCATCAAAATATCATTTATGTTCATTTTTTACGACAGCTACACTTTATCCTTGCATATCATGGCTACTTCCTTAACAAAGACACTTAAAAAAAATATATAAAAAAAGTTTCATCGACTGGGATTTGAACTCCAGACCTCTCACTCACTAAGCGAGCGCGTTACCCCTGCGCCAAGGAGAAGTTATACAAATAATGTCTGAATAACATCAAGTCATTCTAAATTTAGAACTTCCATTGCATTTCGGGTTTGTAATCCTTATTAATTTCGAGGTATTTTGTTCAGGATAAACCTGTTGTTTAAAATAAAATGAAGTAGATAATTTAGCGAAAATCTTCTCGCCCAAACAGTCCGACATGTAGAATCTATATATTCCACTACTCGGTTGTGTAGTATTCGCTAAAAATAGTATTTTCATTGATAAAATCATATTCATCCGCGTAATTTGTGATTGTGCATTTATTGACAATTCTATAAGCCAACGCTATTTTTAAACTTTGAATGCGTTGTAATTTGTTGGATACTTGTAACAAAATAAAAATATTTCTTTCTTTTAAATCGCTAGTTTTAAGCTGTTTTGAGAACTATTTGTTGTTAGGTTTGTCGTAAACTTCTGTGTCAGAGATTGAATGTCCGCTTTGTATTTACTTATTTTTGATCAGAAAATACAATAAAACAATATTAGAAATCTTCGACCATTCAGATATTATTTTGCTTGAAAATTAATGTGCCTGTCTTTGACCATCTTTACGCAGTGATCTCCCCTGAATTTTTCGGCGTTAGTGTACATATAAAGGGAAGTAACCGCTTCAAAAAAGTGGACTACTTTCGGCATTTGCAATAAACAGCATTAGACTCTGAAATTTCGCTATCATTATTTGTTTGGTCTGACGACCCAAACAAATAAAAACTAAAAAACGTTAATAACTTAGTGAAAAAACTAATGTGAAATTCCGTTGTTGCCAGGTATTGCAAATAAGATTCTTGTTTTAGAAATATCTCGTAAACCTTGCATTAATTCAAAATGGCGTCTTTTCTTCAATGAAAAAAGCAGATTCATAATGCACGGTGATAGGATAATTTGCCCAAAACAGGGAAAAATCATCAACTTTTTAATTCCATCGGCTGTGTCATTTTATTTGAAGCTTATTATTCTTAATTGCATGCAAAATGCTTCACTAAGTAAGTCAAGTACGTGTCAGTATAACATTTTTCACCATATATTCCAAAAAGGTTTCCAATACAAACACACCTATTTATGTGGAACTTGATTTTATGCTTACCTTGTGCGTAATATGTTTAAAGAACTTCGTACAAAATAAATCAAGAGATACTATTGGAATCACCCTAGTAATTAAAAATTCATTGCTCTTATGAATACAGAAAATGTAACAGATATTCGTAATTTAAGTATTTACTCGTATCATGTTTTTTATTAAATGTCAGCAACAGATCGATTCAATATAGATTTGCCAATTTTACATTAAAGATAAATTGCTTTACATTATAAATATTATAACCAGCTTTTGATATTTACCCTTTCTGCCAAGTGTTTACTCATCTAAAATGAAAACGGTGACTCGATAAGATATAGATGATAAAATATATATAGATATATCTACTACTTTAACCTTTTGGTCAAACAAAATGCTTTATGTCGTATGCATAATATTGAGTACTTTGAAGATAACCTAATCATAGAAACCTTTTAAGAATGGTTCCGTTGATGGAGACTCCAAATCTTTCTGTTTATTATGCCGTTGTTATGTACAGATCACCACCATGTGCTATATATTTTCGTTTTCGTATTTCTGTGTTGGTGAATGTATCATTTTAGCACTATGTATCATTTGTGAATAGCGCCCATTTCCAAGAAAGAAGAAATCCTTAAATGATATCAACATATTATCTAGGAGCATCCAACCTTGTTAACCATATTATTTTATAGAAATTAATATGTTTTATCTTACTGTAATATTTACATTATTCTGCCTCTCCCAAGCGAGATGTCATGTGAAACCACGCTTTCTTTAATCTTGTTCCCTAAAGCTTTTTGGTTTGGTAATTTTTTAAGAAAGTGAATCAGCTCAAAGTGTATGAGCTACTTTCCTATTTACCAAAGAATTATTTCCCGTGAATACACGTGCCATCTCGACTTCTTGTCACGTATTGCCATGTTTCTATTTTTTGTATGTATATACTGTATATTGATGCTTTGTCAATGGCTCTCTTTAGGGCTTTAGTACAAATAAAAGTTCTTCTTCTTCTTAACCATTATATATATACGGGCTCGTCAGGTCAAAGGAAAAGCACACAGGTTATTTGTGACAAGTACGAGTCTTGTTGAGGTCGTCACGACCTTTTGTCACGACACTATTTCTTCGAAATATGTCATGTTTTGCGAATTGTGTTGTGCTAGATTAACGATGGATTGTTTCAAAAATTCGATGGAATAATTAAAAAGTTAGATAAATTTTGCAATGTCTAGCAGTAAGATATTTTACAAGCTATTTCCTACAAATCGATTAGCCCGCCATTACTATTTTGTCCAGAATGATATGGTGTCTCAGTCAGAAGTATGATATTTTAACGTTACGAGGAAAAAGTTGTGGTAAACGCCCTATCACAGTGTCATGGCCGAGCTGGAGCGCTTATCAATATTCTCCAATCTCATAATAGCCGAGTTTTCTCATAAAGGCCGTAATTTTTGCATAATGGCCTTGTTTTATGCTCATAATGCCGTGATGAACTTCATTTTAGCCTTACATTTGAAGTGAAAAAGTGCCTAATATTGGAAAGTTAATTAAATATATGTTATAATTTATTCGCCATTTTGCAGGGTTAGATCAATAAAAGCAAGTGTGAAACAATCTCACGTAATGCACAGTCCTGTTTGTGATATGCCTTTGGGTAAAACAAATGTGGAGCCATTTCAAAAATGTTGCTTTCTGTGACTTTCATAGTTTGTAGCAAATAATTTAATGTGTATTTTCTACGACTTTGCTCTCGTATCGAGATATCGCGCGTAGAATAGGTTTCATGAGACCTTAAATCACTAACCTTAAAGTAAAAAGTTTCAGAATGTACAAATTTTCACCGTCTAATTCGATATCAACAGATACCGAACAGGTGAACCCTTTAAATGCTTGACATTTTTTGGCCGAAGTATATTGAATTGGTCACACCAAGATATTCATACGGAGTAATAACGTTACCTTTTCCTTTCGATTTTATATATCGTCGCACTTCGGTTAAATCATAGCCGAGAGGCCCTGTTTGTTTGTTGTTGTTGTTTAGGGGTAGTGCACGGATACATCAGATGTTCCGTTGCAAAAGATGACCCTGGTTCGTTCACATTCCCGATGTAGAACACTAAGATTTGAACTTAAGGTGTTATCCAAAAGACCATTTATATTGTCAGTGGTGGAGAGGAGACTTGAACTTGCCATGGATTACTAGCTCAGCTCGTTTATACCACTGGATCATGGATCCGCTCCTGAAAACGTGAAGAATTTAATCAACCAAAATATCATATCAGACAAAGTATTGTAATACTATAATTTATTGAGTATTATTATCTGTTTTAAAACAATCGTTTAAAACAATCGTTTTCTTAACTGTCATCTTTATTTAAATTGAAGGTCATATGAATTATGTTAATGAAAAAGAAATAATCAATCATATTATTACAACTAAATGGTGTAAACAAATGAACATAACAAAACATAATACGGTGTTTATAGTGTGTACCATATGGTTAAAAGAAAATGTACAGGACAAAAGTAAACTGGGAATAATAAAAAAGGTAAGTTACATATTTTCATTTTTATTTCTTATATAGTTAGTAATCCTTCCTTTTCCCCTTTCGTTCTCTTCTATACGTATTCATGATAGGAATAACGAAAAGCCAAACATATTGTGACAAACGAAAACTTTCAAAAATCATTGTAGTTCACGTACAAATTGACAAAATTTTCGGAAAATGCATCGGCATTTCATAACGGCTACTAAGACGTTATATGTTATCGGATGGGACAATATACTCATACCCTCGTTAAAACAATAAAATTTACCCGTGAACCAGGCTGGAAATTGGAAAACAAATTGGTCCGTTTTATCTATGTTTGATATACATGTAGCGTTTGTATGTAGTCCATGCTAAATAAAGGTCCAAAAATTTATTTTTTTTATATCTAAAGAAACGAAGTTTGAGTAGGTTGCTGTACAGTTGTCAATGAGCACCTAAAAGTACAGGTACTGGTGACATTAACGAGGAGGTTAGCTCACAAAAGGGATGTTTGTTTGTGCGACGAATAATGACTTAAATGAATTTATTTTTACATTGTTGTTAAACACATAAGTTGCATACTGAGTGAAAACTATGGGCCTTAATAACATAAATTGTATTTCGTTCTACAGTAATAAGATTTTGCCAAGGAGGACTCTGGGTAGTCGGTGCCATACGATGCAGTTTTAAATTTAATAAAAATAGTTTGTTCAAGAGAAATGCTTTTACCGGGAAACAAAATGTTCGTCAAACTTTTTATAAACATCTATTTCACTGAGTAAACTTGGATGATATTTACCATATATCTAGTGTTTCTTAATATACTGATCATATTTTGTCAGCCCTCTTTTTTCAGAACGTTCATTCTTTACTTCAGGCTCATTAATGTTGGGTAGGAAAGTCTTAGCGTGTTTGTTCCTTGTCACTGCCGCTTTCAGCTTCCCTATTAAAAATAAGTAAAATCCATTTTGTGCTTGTTCTTGTACAAAACTGATATACTAGTATACAATGTTTATACATGTAGTTACCTAAACACTTAGTGAGCGTATAGTAACTCGTTAAAGCCTTGCAATGCTTCCTGGACTGCTTAAAATGTAGCTTTAAACATTATCAATGACTTTGATAATTATTCTTCAAGTGTGCTATACACTTTACCATAGGAAAGTCGGTTGTATAACTAAATTGCCTTACAGAGCTAGAAACAAGTCAGGAAAGATGACTTTTGTTAAGTGCTGCCTACCATGACCTTGGGTTAGGTTCAATCTATATCGACCAGAAAAAAAATAAAGCCAACAGATGGCCGTGACACTTGAGACAATAGTATTCTATATGCAAGTATATACATGTAAATGACTTTAATAATCTTAATTCAAAATATGAAAAAAGAAATCATGTTCTGTCTTATTCCTGTATGGGGTTTTAGATATGGCTACGAGGAATATGTCGGCTTTAAGAATTATTCATAAAGAGTTTTACATACTAGTACTTTCCTCGGATTCTTGGGCCATATCCTGGATAAGGTCCAAGTTTGGACAATTTTGTTATCAACAGTATGTCGTACCCCACTGTCGCTCTGATATATTTGAAGAACATGGGATTTACTAACAGAAATAAAAACAGATTAGAACATACTTCCCTCATGCCAGTACATGGCGGAAATTAATCAAAATAAAGTACTTTGGATCGACTAGGAAGCTGATCCATGTGCTCATTGGGTAATGAACCATGTTTGTTTGTTACATGTAATTCTGATTGGCTCAACTTACTGTATTGCTTCATAAAGTTCTTCTGTGTACCCACGGTATTAGGAAATATTTACGTCTTCTTTTTACAGCGTGTATTAATCCTCATGATGGCGGCGAACTGCAAGTCGGAGAAGGCTACCATGACAGATGTAATGTGTGCACGTGTCAAGAAAATGGACAAATCAAGTGTTCTGATCGCAAGTGCAAACGTCGACGTGTCATGCTTGAGGCTGTGTCAATAAGTGATAGGTAGGATTTCACCTCGTATGAACCAGTAATTGATTACGAAGAAATGCCATCCAAAGACGTATTAATTTACAGTTCAAATCCTATGCATTGGGTTCTTATGACTTAAGATTCAATATTTATATAATATTTATTGTGTAAGGACCACGTGACTGTATTGTGCAGGCATATCATCAAAATAATAACAACCTTTTCCAACAAGCAGTAACTTACTAAATACCCATTTCATTCCAATGGCCGTTAGGTTCTGTCATCATCATTAAGATGATACTTTGAAAAATGTAGGAAAAGGATATTTTCTAATCCGAAATCTCTTTTAGTGGAAACAAGTATTTTCAACGTATTATCTTCAAAACTATATAAATCGTTACCTATATAAATTGCTTTAAATCACACGTTTCAACATTTTGATATCTGACTGTTTCTCAACGGACGAGGTCGGATGTTTGTGAAGGGGATAACTTTTACAATTTGCTGCGCCATTAAAATATGTTTATACAGGAATGAAAAGTTCATGGTATATCTGTGATTGTAAATATATCTTTTTTTTCAGAAATACAAGGAAAAGAAATGTCTTCGAAGTAGATTTCATCCAACTTTAGTGTGCATGTTGCCATTCAACTGAAGACAAGAAATAAAAATTTATATTCACAGCTTACTTTTCTTATTTTCCTCCTGAAAAAAGGTTTCTTATATATATATCCAAAATTTAGAATTATATTTTGTTGTGACCAATAAAAAGGGTTGCTTAAAAATTGTTAAAAACAGTACCAAGCAATGAATGGAAAGTTTCCTGGTTAAAGAAAAAACGGATTGACCTTGAAAGGGTTTGATCCCATGCTGTCAGCAATCCTTAGATTACTAGTCTGACGCAAGAACCAATCAACCATTCTTTATAATTAGAAGCAGAACGACATATATTAAATCAAATCACTACATTATACGTTCATGTATCTATATTTTTTTATTTAAAATACAGATAACAGTTACAAAAAAATGGTTCACATGTGAATAGATTTCTATGCGTTCAATCGTTTCATTCTCGGAATAATTTAAATAAAGATCATTTTGACAATATGTTTAGTCATTTTACACTTGTATGTATTGCATTCGAAGATAAAAGTAATTATAATTTTGCAATCATGCACATGTCCTTATTCTTCTCTTTTTCTTAGAAACAATAAAGTCTAACTATGTACTCTACTTAAATAATACATAAATAACTAAATATAATGTATATTATTTGTTTGCGAAATGGTCTATAGTAACTTAGTCATGTCCATGCATACAGCGCAAAAATGATTACTTTGGCACATTATGGCGCTGAAATCTAAATTTGAGGTTGCACGTTGAGAATCGTGATAGACTCCTACAATCTTTCTTTGGCACGATCAAATTTCAATCTACCCCATGTAATTTACTTTAATCAAATACGAGATCATGTATGTGACTGATCTCTGCACGTCATCACAATTCGTATAACGGTAGCAATGGGAGTTCTGTAATTTGATCATGCTTTCTTTCTGTTCATCATATTAAAACTAAGGGTGGTGTTAATATGTCATTTGCTAATTTTGCTGTCTTTAAATGTTCATCATTTAAACAAACATTCAAAAACATTAGAGAATATTGATGTTAAAACCCCTTCTATGTACAAAAGGAGGTAGTGGTTATACACAAGAGAACTATCAATGTTACGTATACTGACATTTATCATTATAAGTAATATTCCAGTGGAATTGTGTCTAACATTTCTTTTTGCAATTTAATGGCTACCAAATGTGCATTGCTCATTATGTAAAGTCAGATTGTTTTTATCTGATCTCAAAAAGTACGTAACACTTAACATTCTATTCGATATTTTTCACCCTACTTATTACGTAATTAAAGATAATTAAGCCGCTAATTGAGCAAACAAAAATCCCTGACTCAGTTCCTACCGTAAATGGATTCCCTTTCATGTGTTAATTGCTAAATAATAAAAATCGTTATGCAGATAAAATAAGTCAGGACCGCATCAAAGTGTCTGCATTTCTCTCCCAGACCCCTTCTTTGCATAACATGCAAATATCAAACCAAAGAGGGTCGCAATATACGGTGATATGCAATTTTAAAGATGATGGTGAATATCATTTTATAACATAAATGCATTTTAATCTTAACGCGGTTTACTGTCCGTCTGGTAGTCGTGTGACTATCTGTTAAATTTTGTGGCACGCGGTGGAGGAAATGAAACGCATTTACCGTGCTTTCAGTGATTGGGGGTTTTAATACGAATGAGAACGGGATATAATATTTTTTTGTTCGTCAAATATCAATTTAAATATATGAATTGATATTAAAATAAAAATCAATAAAATAGAAAATGAGAAAAAAAGGTTTAACTAATAATTATCAGAATTTGCATTCATATGCAGCAGTACACCTGTAAAAGTTCATTCAAAGTTTTGTGCAAAGATATTGTTCATTGTTAGCTTATAGAAACCTCAGGTGATGACCAGATTTTGAACTCCGGACCTCTCGATTACAAGGCAGACACTCAACCACGTCGCTAGGGTAACCCGAACAGCAACACTGTTGGAAATGGCCTACACCTGTAATCACTTCACTTTCAATAACAGAATTCACACTTTCTATTGACTTTTGTAACGGATGATTTAATTGAATGGCTAAAATTAGCAAACTCAGATATACATGTAAGAAATAAGTAAATCTCATTTTTAGTCAGATCAGATAAATTATTATATTACATCGTCGAAGAAAATTTTTTTAATTTATAAAAAAACTTACTGTACAGTATTTATAAATTATATTACGAAGATTAACGACTAATTACCTTGAATGTTTCGAAATACCGATTTTCCTTGTTGGTGCCTCAACAGGGGGACGGAGCGTTATCGATAATTGACAGGTTACGATCAGATCCGATATAATTAGTGCATGTCACATCTTAAAACATTCAAAAAGATAGCTTCTGGACTGACTTCTTTCAAAAATAAAACACGAAGGTGTTCAGAATAGTTTAATAAAAAGGAAATCTCATTTAAGGTATTTCAGTGATAAATATCTCTGTTGTCACCTTTGAAAATTTCAAAAATCATTCTTGGAATAAATATATATCTGTTTTTCTTGATAAACTGGACACTTAAAAGAAATGAAACTCATTTTCTATATCACTTTATTAAAAAGTAATATATACGATTTCGTGCTGACACATTTTGATATTTTTTGTTATTGCTTTGTTGTTGATGTTATTGTTTCATTATGTTGCTGTTTAGTTGGATTTTTTTGTACATTTACAAAGCTATTTATGAAGCACTTTTCAATGTCCACCAGATATAAGTACTTAATTGATATAAACTTATAAGTACATATTAATTAGTTGAAAACATTTGTCGCTCTTGAAACATTTGTTATTCATTGCTTTGAAGTCACCAGGCATTTTCTCAGGTATGCTGAGTTTTAATTCTCGAAAACCATATGTGGTTTGCTATTATATTTTCCATCGCTTAGAATGCCTTTTTAAACAGTTGTTTTGCAATCATTTAGAATAGTGACTGGCGATATTATTGGAATCAAATCTTTCTGAAAGAAACTAACTGATAAGGTAAAATATATTATTGAGATTTTTTGTTTAAATATAGTTTATATACATAATTTAACTTACAAGAGTTATTTTTTATCGAACGTTTTACACATGCTCAAATGACAATACACATATAAAAAGTTTTCTTCTAAACATAATCTGTATTTATGATGAAAATCTTTCCAAATGTAATAAAATGCCTTCTGATTTCGTTGTTTCTCCTTGCATGTACTAAAGAAATTGAATATCCGTTATCGTTTGGAGTAACAGAACGTTTGGTGACATAAATTTCCAAAGATATGTAAATATTAATATTAAAGGGATACTCAGGCAAAATATTGACAAAAAAATTAAAATGATATTTTGTACTGAAATCATGCTAAAATGTCATTTCTTAAAATCCCAGAATGAATTTCTGTATAAATTCTATATATTTCTTCTTTGCTTCCAAGTTTTCCATTTTCCTAGCTGCTTTTTTAATGTTTTCACATCTGTCAATACTTATTTTTTGTCTGTTACAATCATCAAATAAGTTTTCTTCTTTTAAAAAGGTGTATGACTAACAAATTTAAATAATATTTCTCTTAATCAAACACAATTATTTTCCTCCCGTGAAATACACATCTTTAAAAATGCCTACCGCTTACATTTAACAAAGCCAGGTGTAATATAAATTCGCAGTAAGAAACAGAAATATGGATGGATGGTTGGACCTTTTCTCCTACAAGAATTGTTTGTTTTTATTATTAAAACAAGCGATCATTCATATTTTTTTAATAAAATGAATAATATCACTGTCATTAAACGTTGATTGTCAAACTTTTTTCTGCTAAAGACTTCTCGACTTGACTTGAATTAAATGAGAAATTCTAACTAAACTGGGCTCTCAATGGGGAAAACAAATTTAAATATTAACGTTAATATCATGGAAATTACGTTTTAGCTTGTTTTTAGCATAAAATAAAAAGAAAATATGTTTGTTTGTTGTGTAAGATGTAATTTTCTTTCATCTCGTGAACTTTAAAAACAGTTTTCTCACGCCACTTGTGAGAATCATGTTTTTAAAGCCAAGTCAATGAAATAAAATTTCATCTTATACACAAACAAACAAATATCCTCTATATCTTAACGCTCTAACCCGACCCACGTGGATCAAGTAAGGAAACCACCATTATTTTTTTAAGGATAAAAGGTTTGTTCCTTTGACTGTCTAGTGTAGTCATTTTGATGACATTTACACAATAAAGAATAAAAAATTCAAAACTAAGAATTGATAATTTGGCCTGTGTCTCCTTTTAATCTAGCATCATATTAAAACAAAACAAAGTAAGAACGGAAAATATCAATACAAATGCGTTATGATTCTTGTCGTCAAATGTTTTGATAAAGAACAGACGCATAAACATGTAGTTCCTAACCAGTGTTTATTGGCAGTTTAACACCTGTTGAGTGTTCTTCTTTGTGTGTAAGAACAAAATCACGAAGCATCTTAGAATCTAAAATATACTGATATCAACGTGAAACAAAGATGGATAGATCTCACTCAGGAGGTGTGCAGTACACAAGAATGATATCTCTACCGTTCATAATTTTTGAGTTATTGCCCTTTGTTAATTTTCATACTTATTTTTTCACCTGAGTGGAGCATAACTCAAAAAGTCTTTGAGATATCAACATGAAAATCTTCATAGGTGGATAGATCACATTGAGGAGGAATGCTGTGCACAAGAACGATAACTCTTTCCATTATATTTTTGTGTTATTGCCTTTTTTTATTTTTCATACTTTTTGTCTGGAGCTTATCTAAAAAAGTGTTAAAGGTATCAACTTGAAACTTCATAAGTAGATAGGTTTCATTGAGGAGAAGTGCAGCACACAAGAATGATAACTCTTCTCAGCATAATTTTTCAGTATATGCCTTTTGTTAATTTTCATACTTAATTTTTGGCCAGAGCATAACTATAAAAGCCTTTGAGATATCAACTTGAAATTTCTTAGGTGGATAGATCCTATTGAGGACGAGTGTAGCACACAAGAATGATAACTTACCCTGCATTATTTTTCAGT